TGTTATGACCTGATTAAATTTCTTCTTCAGAACCAAACAGTTGTTGATTGATGATCATGTTTTCGAACTGCTTTGTTTCAGGCCAGTAGTCGAGTAAAGTTTGAAGGATACCATGCCTTGTCCTCATTCTGTTTTGGGAAGTGATCAGCAAGTGGTGAACGTTTAGCTTGAGCTCGTGTCTAGTATTCCTTAGCCAATCTCATGGATTAAAGGAGAGTCTAGATAGATGAATGATGATTTATAAAAGAGTGTTGCTTAATTTAATTACTGAATATGATTGATTGATTAGCAAAATATCGTAACCTATAATTATGGTGAGGTGTTTACTTATTTAAACACTTAAGAATAATTATGAAATATTATTTGAGGTTTATCCTGAGCCTTAATTGTTCTCAAGTACTAATATATAAATATATAATTAAGTATATGAGTACGAATCATGTGAAGTCTTATCACATTCACTCTCCCGAAAGTCCCGCATTACCGTGAATTGTTCCTGCGATATGGAACAAGGTTACGAAGACACAATGATGGGGTCGCACCCTGGAGGCCATGTAACTGAATGCAGCGTTAGATATTCGATCTTAGAATATCTGATGGAGAATGTAGTTATATTTATTTTCCCTCTAGGCTCGGTTAGCCTTTGTGGTTCTCCGGGTTTAGTATATATATATTATATGTATGAGTGAATGGCGGGTGATACATGAGTGATGTATAAGATTATATTCACATTGATCGAATGATATGACGTATATATTTATACTAGTTATGGAATATATTTCCACTGCATTCAAATGTTGATGTTTGCTTGGGATATGTATTGGGGTATGGGATTAGACTCACTGAGTAAACTAGTTACTCATGACTCATTTGTAATGTAGGTAACCAGTAGGCGGGAGACCTTTATTATAGGATGGGAAGGAACGGCTTCAGCCAGCGGTAGTTTTATTATCCTTGCAAAGTCGTTTTCAAATACCTTATGTATAAAGTTTGTTACCGAAAACCTCGAGGTTAATCTATAAGATTTTGTAAGATTCTTTTGAATGAATAAGTATATAATGTATAAAGAATGTTTCTTTAAGTATGGGTTCCATATGATATTAGTCCTTGTCCGGACGAACCAACTATTGGGTATTACTCGGCCGGGTTGCAAAGTCTTGAGTTGTACCTAATAGGATATGTCTATAAAATATATCCCTATATCCTTATGTAATTTTATGTTGAATTGATATAAGATAAATGTCCTATAACTGTATAAATTAATAATGTTGAGACTACACCAAAATTTTTATTTTTATTGCCTAAGTGAAACCTGTATAAATTAATAATGTTGAGACTACACCAAAATTTTTATTTTTTATTAATTTATAAAGATATTAATTTATCGATATATTAATTGAACCAAAAACTCAATTTGGAACTATAAAATTATATTATTTGGTTCCTGGATTTGGAAAAAGCTGCTGAAGTATAGAGATTATGCCAGATCTATCGTCAAAGTTGAAATAAAAAGTGGTGCCATTACCTCTTTTTGGTTTGATGAGTGGTCCCCCTTGGGGAGGATAATTGATATCACAAACATGCAAGGATGCATTGCACTTGGTATTAATATCAACACAACTGTGGAATTTGTAATTCAAAACTACCGAAGCCGCCGCTACAGAGCAGAACATCTAATTACCATTGACAAGGAGATCATGAGGCTAAGGGCGCAGGGACTTGTAGAAGAAAAAGATGAGGTTCTGTGGAAAGGAAAAGGAGATGCGTTTCGACCTTGTTTCGATACGCATCAAACTTGGATTTTAACGCGTGTGCAGCAAACAAAGGTACAATGGTACAAGGGTATATGGTTCTCTGGATCGACTCGCAAGTACTCTGTCATGGCCTGGATTGCAGTACATAATCGCCTGGCTACAGGAGATAGACTGTTGCAGTGGAACCCTCAAGCAAATGCTCAGTGTGTTCTCTGCAATGCCGTGGTTGAAACCCGGAACCACTTATTTTTCAGCTGTCCTTTCACTGAGGTCATATGGACAAACCTTTCTCTGAAGCTTCTTGGACAGTGCTACTCACACATGTGGAGTCAAGTTCTTGAGCTAATATCGACAAATATTGTCTCAGGAGACACCATATTTCTTCTCAGTTATGATTTCCAAGTCTCAGTGCACACCATTTGGCTTGAGAGAAATGGTCGAAGGCACAGCACGGTCAAGCGTTCCCAGAGCCTCATTATCAAGTTTATTGATAAGCAGATACGAAACCGCATCAGTATAGTGCGTGGACGAAGAGGAACATCTTTTTTTTTTCTTTTTGGTCAAAGAAGAGGAACATCTTTTTAACAACACAATGGTAGTATAGTTTTCGTCTAGAGATTAGGCGAGCTTTATCACTGTTATTTGTTTCAAACATCTTTGAAGTTTTAGTTTATGCTGCACTAGTTGTACAAAAGTTTTTTTAATTCGAAAAATTTAGCACTTTTTCAAACAAAAAAAATTTATTTTATAGAGATATTTAATTTCTATAATATTATTTGAGAAATCACTTTCTTAGGTGTCGCACTCACATTAACTCTCACGTTGGTTGATTACTATGATACCGCTAATGAATTAAAATACAATTAAATATTATTTCCTTTTTAAAAATTTCCAAATAACAATTTAAAATAAAAAGGAAACATTTATAAAATTTACAAAACTATTTAAAACGAAAATATAAGTATATATAATATGGTTTAATAAAAAAGGAAAGTTCACAAAATAGTAATATTTAATTTAAATATATTTTAAATAACATAAAATACACCTTGGAAGTAATAAAATACTTTATACTAGGTGATTTTCCCGTGCTCATGCACGGACATAAATATTTATAAAATAAATATATTATAATGGTTGATTGATATTTACTTTAACTTTTATATTAATTTATAGTTTTTATGTATAATTTATATTAATAATATTATATTATTTTAGTTATATATTATTTTAGATATATTATATTTACTCAGTTTTATCATTTGGATATATATATATATATATATATATATATATATATTTATATATATATATATATATTGGATTCTATCTATTTCTCTAAATTCAACTATAATCTTTTTAATTCTAAATATCTTAAATTTTTGATTAATTGTTTTATTTAAATTTATGTTGGTTGTTATCTTAAAAATATAAGTATATCTTAGTAAGATTATGTATTTTAAGATTTTTTGTGCTTAGAACGAAAAAAAATAAAAACTAAAGTGTGTGATTCTAAATTACATACATAAGTAATAATAAATTTTTGGTAGCTTATGAACACATATCAATATCTAGAATAATTAAATATTTTATAAATTTTAAATAATTTATGCCTTAGATTGATTGGATGGTAAACTGAAATTTATTTTAAATAATTTTTAAATAAAGAATTCTGATTTGCTTAAGTATTTTGATTATGGTTATACTAAATTTCACAAACATAAAAACAGAAAATTAAACATCAAAAGAGTTATTAAGAAAACAGATACTTTTAACTATTAAAATATAATATACCTACCTCGTTAAATTATATAGTGTTATGATATTTTAAAATAATTTTAGTTATTTGATCAAAAGATGTTTATTATTAAATTTATTTTTAGTTTTGTTTTTAATATCTCTTAAAATATGCAGTAAAAATGTGATTGTTTTTGAGAAATTATATTATATAAGTAAAATATAATTTATATTTTTTTGCTGTAACTGTAAGATATTATAATCAAATAAATATACTAATTATATATTTTTTCAATTAAACATATATCAGTTTATGTTACTTAATTAATTTATATAATCATCTAATAAAATAGATATAAATGTACAAAAACTAATTATTTTGAAAATATATATTTTATTGTTTAAATTATTTTTTTAAAGAAAACATATTTCTTTTTCTAATATCAAGATTATTTGTATGAACTTTTTTATGAAAACACATTATATACAAATATTTTTTTTCATCTAAGAAGATATATATATAAAGTATAATTGCTTAAAAAGTATAATTTATGTTATTTAAAAATAAATTTATGTTAAATATTACTATTTTGTAAAATTTCCTTTTTTATGAAACCATATTATATATATACTTATTTTTTCGTTTTTAAATAGTTTTGTAAATTTTATAACTATTTCCTTTTTGTTTTATATTGTTATTTGGAAGATTTTAAAAAGGATATAATAATATTTAAATATATTTTTAATTCATTAGGGATATCATACTAATCAACCAGCGTGAGAGTTAATGTGAGCGCGACACCTAAGAAAGTGACTTCTCAAATAATATTATAGAGATCTATATCTTCTTAGATAAAAAAAAATATATGTATATAGTGTGATTTCATAAAAAAAATTCACACAAAAAATATTACTATTAGAAAAAGAAATATTTTTTCTTTTAAAAATATAATTTTAAACAATAAAATTTATTTATTTTCAAAATAATTATTTTGTATATATCTATCTATTTTATTAGATGATTACATAAAATAATCAACTAAAATAAACTGATATATGTTTAATTGATATTTTTTTATAATTAGTATTATTGAAATTATTTTTTTAGTAAATTTTTTTGACTATAATATCTTACAATTATAGTAAAAATATAAATTTTATTTTACTTATATAGTATAATTTCTCAAAAACAATCACTTTTTACTGAATATTTTAAGAGATGCTAAAAATAAAACTAAAAATAAATATAATAATAAACATCTTTTGATCAAGTAACTACAATTATTTTAAAATATCATAACACTATATAATTTAACGAGGTAGATATATTATATTTTAATAGTTAAAATTATCTGTTTTAAGAATAAGGATTCTGATTTACTTAAGGGAGAATTTCATGTTTACACATTCTTTAGTACCATTATTCAACTTTACCTTCAAAAGAGGGATATTTTCATAAATACCTAATTCATTAATAGGTAATTGACTTTAATAACCCTAGGGCTGAGTTGGACTTCTCTACAACGATGACGACTACTCCCACGGCGGCGAACGGTCACACTTCGCCGCGAAACTCATCAATTCCCTCAAGCTTCACAAAGTTCAACTCAGCTCTAACGGCGGGTCTCCTAAATCCGATGTCACCTCCTCCTCCTCCTCCGGCGATGCACGACAAGTCGCGAGCAAGTCCGACGCTATTCGAGATGATGTCCAGCGAAGCCGGATCTCCCGTTCAGATCCACAACCTCGTCCTTCCATCGTCCTCTTCTTCCAGAACGACGACGAATCATCTCGTAATCTCAGCTCAGGACAAGCAAGCGCTCGCAATGCAACGGATTTCGAATCTTTTAGTGACTCGGAGCCCCGGGAACCAGTTCAACGACCCGGCTTCGAGCGACGTGAAGCTCACTCTGAGCTCTAAAGACGGGATTAGCATCACGATGTGTGTGCACAGGCAGATTCTCGTTGCGCACAGTAGGTTCTTCGCTACGAAGTTGTCGGATCGTTGGTCGTCGTCTCCTTACATTGTTGAGATCTCGGATTGTGATGACGTGGAGGTTTATATAGAGACGTTGATGTTGATGTATTGTAGGGATTCGAGGAAGAAGATGATGAGGCAGGATGTGTCTAGAGTTCTTGGTATCTTGAAGGTATTGTTAGAAAATGATTTTGAGTTTTTTTTTTTGTAATGAATGATTGAATCTTGAATCTTGTTTTTGTCAGGTTTCGGCACCTATTGGGTTTGATGCTGGAGTACTGTCGTGTCTGGAGTATTTGGAAGCAGCACCGTGGTCGGAAGATGAGGAACACAGGATTGCTTCGTTGTTATCTGAGCTACACCTTGAGAACGTAGGAGCAACGGAAGTTCTGAGAAGGGTTTCTGTAGAAGCTACTCACAATGGGAGCAGCAATGATGAGGTGCTTTTAAATCTTTTGCATATAGTTCTTGAAGGTAAAGACGAGAAGGCGAGGCGTGATATGAAAACCCTTGTTTCGAAAATGCTTAGAGAGAACTCCTCTGGTAATGATCTTAGGAAAGAGTCTTTGTATTTAGCTTGTGATGGGTGTTTGCATAAGCTTAAGCGTCAGTTTCTACAAGCAGCAGAGTCTGATTTACGAGTCTGATATGGTTTATAAACTTCTCTTGTGAGTTTCTTGCAAGCCGGTAAAACGCATCTCGGAAACACTTTATAAATCATTTTATAACACAGAAAAAAATTCAGTTTATTTTATTTCAGTTTACAAACATTTATAAATTAGTTTATAAACACTTCTAAATCCATTTATAAACCATTATAAATTCATTTATAAGTTCTAATAAATAAATTTATAAACCCTTATAAATCAATTAATAAAATTTTATAAATGTTCAAAAACTTGGTATTTCATTTTTAAGAATTTAAAAGGGTTTGTATCATTTATAAACCCTTTTAAATCTGTTTTATAAACAGTTTATAAGAATATATAGAAAATAATAATCAATAAATCATTTATAAGAATATATAAAATTATTTATAAGGGTTTATAAAATTATTTATAAGGATTTGTAGAAATTCTAAAGATAATTCAATTATAAAGTCTTAAAACATTTTATAAGAGTTTATAAATCATTTATAAGAGTCTATAAATCATTTATAAGGGTTTATAAATCATTTATAAGGGTTTATAAATTATTTATAATGGTTTATAGATCATTTATAAGGGTTTATAAAATCATTTTTAAATTATTATTAGTTTTTTATAAGGCTTTATAAATTATAAACATTAATTTAAAAGCTTATAAATTATTTATAAGACTCATTTTAAATATTTATAATGGATTTATAAATCAGTACAAAATGATGTATAAACATTAATAGCATGGTGGAGTTCGGCTCTCCAAAGCAACATTTTAAAGATAACTGGTGTCGTACGAGAAGCCTTTGCTTTGGTATAGTCATAAAGAAATGAAAAGGGTGGCCGGTCTCAATACGCATAGAGATAGTTGGTACAAAGATTAGAGAGAGAATTAACCGAGTTATTAATCAGCTTTCTGTTTGATTAGTTTTGGTTTGTATTCCGGGTTTCTACATGTATTCCTAGATTAAAATCATACATTTGATGTCTATTATTTGTTGAGGTTGAACGGCTCTAGAAGCCTTGTTTCCTGCTCTTCTCATACACCTTCATCATGTGTACATGTGAACTTATAGGCGCTTAACAAAACCATTTTATTTCATTAACAGTTAAATATGTACAAGTAATTACATAATCAAATAAATATCTCTTGATCGTGTGGGATCAAGACCCATCTTACGAACCTTCTTGAGAGACTCTTGGAATCTAACTTTGCCGTAGATGGCTCCGTTCTCGGAAATGAGTAAAGGGAATAAGAGTTTATAAAACCATTTAAATTTATAAAATCTTTTATAAATTTACAAACCATTTACAAGACTTTATAAATCATAATATAAGGTTAATAAGAACCTATAAGAGTTTATAAACCATTTATAAAGGTTTTTAAAATGTTTATAAGGGTTTATAATAATTTACAAAGGGTTTATAAGGATATATAAATAATTAATAAGAGTTTATAAATTATTTATAAAATTTTATCAATTCTTTTGATAAATTTTATAAACCTTTTATAAAGGTTTACAAATTATTTGTAAGAGTCTATAAACCCATCTATAAAAGCTTATAAAACAATTTATAAAGTGTATAAACAATTTATAAATGTTTATTACAAAAACTATAAAAGTTTATAAATAATTTATAAGGGGTATGTATATAATTTATAAGGTTTATAGAGGTATATACAGGTTTAGAAATCAATTGGAGATCTTAAATCAATTATAAGAGTATATAACCATTTAGTTTATAAACCTTTACAAATCAGTTTGCAAACCTTATAAATGATTTTATAAATCCTTATAAATGATTTTATAAAACCTTATAATTAGTTATATTTTTTATAAATAACTTTATAAGCCTTTCTAAATTAGTTTATAATCATTGTATAAGTTATTTATAATGGCAGAAACAATACTAAAAAGTAAAAAAATGTTTAGATTTCTTGTATAAAGAGATAATAAATATATAAAAGAAGAAAATGGAAGGCAACTAAGTACCATATCTAAAATAAAATACAAAACCATATAATATCCACATAACAAAGAAGCAAAGAATAATAGAGCATCAATGTCTAGAGGTAACTGGTGAAGCAAAGAGCCAGATTTCATGTCTCTAATTTGCAGGATGTGCTTAACGTCGCTCATATAGCATGTGACCAGTTGATTCCCGTTGACTGCACAAGCTGACGCTAGGACATCCTTTTCATGTTCTTCAACAACATCAGTCCAGCTGTTTGGTTCCTTCAGAGGTTCCTTCAGATCAACCCGGACTAATTTGTATTTAGGGGCATCTTTATTTGTCAGGAAAGTAAACAGCGTCTCATCATTCGAGATAACAGTATACTGTGCGTCAAGTGTGTCAACAAGCTTAATGAACGGAAGAAAACTGCTTCCTATGAAACTCTCGAGACCTCCAGAAAGTGAAGATAGATAGCAGTAGTATAATTTGTTGACAGGGTCACAACCCTCTTCAATGTTCATGACTAGAAACTGCATGAAGATACAACACGGTGAAATTTAAATTGGAACTCAACACTAATAACCGAAATTCTAGATAGCAAGTTCTCTAACCTTCTTATTGGTCCTCCCTAATCCTCTGGAGAGCAACCACCGTGGTAAGCTTCACAAACGTCGAGGTTGGCTGCAAGAGGAAATTTTGGTAAGTGCGGTGTAGAAGAGGTAGGATTAAAGAAGACTTTTTATCCATCGCTAATAGCCTTCCACATTTACTGCATCATGAGAGATGTGAAAAGTTTAGCCCACAGAAAGCAACACGAGTGTTAAAAAAAATTGCAGAAGAATCACATAGACTGGCTTATTACCTACACGGTTGGCTAAATAGGGATTCAAAACTGCATACCCATAGCTGCAGTGTTGGATAAGAAACGTCTAAATTAACTTCCATGGATCCAGAAGAAAGTAATGATTCATGTTATCCACAGACAGACAGAGTCCTTGTCAAATCTTTTTACCAGAGGAAAGTACAGAGCTGATCCGGTACCAAATTCGAGGAAGTATTGCAAGGCTGTAGAAGCATGTTCCTGCAAGAAAATCTAATAAATGCAAGTTCCTAATCAATCAAATTCGTAACACCAGTTGCACTCTCTGTTACCGTGATGTGTTTGTAAACATGATGAGTGGAGACGCCTCTCGCATGTACGTAGCTGCCTCTCTATAAGGAAGGGAAGAGACAAAGCAAAAAGATGAGTACCTAAACAACGTTCTTCGAAGATTAGCTTTATCTAATGCAGTAAGCTTGGAAGTTACCTCATCTGGAGAAAAGAACGCAACAGAATATGGATCAACAGAACCAGCTGGATTCAACGAGACTACAGCTTACCCGAACTGAGTTCAAACATAAGACTTTCAAGTGCGTAAACAGAACTGAGTTCTAACATAAAAGCTTGCGAGTTCAAGATCCAAATTTAAAAAAAAAAACACTTGCAACTTTGTAATCAAGAATATTCCAGATATAGTAACAGTACAGAATGCAATATCACACTGCCAAAACAGAGAGTTCCAGAAAATCATATCTTTTTCAATCTTAATTGTCACTAGAGTGACATCATTAGCCTACAACTTACCCGAAACTTTTTGAAAAAAATCACTACAAAATTGGTCTCCAAGATTACCAAAAAAGTAAGCAACTTTCAAGCATCAATCTCCTTTGATTTCCTCTTCTTCTTGCTCTTCTTCTCTTCAGAACCAATCTCTCCATCTCTTCCTCTTCTTCTCCTTTCCATCTTCATTCACTTTCTCTTCAACAACATCATCTTCACCTTTGGTCTTCTTGTGCTTCTCTTCTTCTCCTTCCTCTGCTCTTCTTCCACCTTCACATTCAATTATGAGACAGAATTGATTAAGAACTGTCTTTTAGGATTGATTCAAACAGAGGGTAAAAGGGTTCGTACATAACCGGAACAGTCTATGAGCATCTTCTTCTTCTTCTCCGTTGTAAGCTCTTCCATTTTCGCAGGCTGCTGAGATTTCAGAACCTGAAAGAAAACAAAGATTCTAGGGTTTTATGAAACATCAACAGATCCAATTGGGATCGCCTCCACCTCCTATTTTGAGTGTGCCGTTGGTTTTGGAAGTTTCACGTTTTTCCCAATGTGTTGCTTATGAATCAATTTGTATGATGGCTGAGTTCTCCAGAGTTCGCGAGATGGCCAAGAGTTCGCCGAGATGGCCGGACTTCGCCGGAGATGTTATCCTAGCTCATCTCAATGGAAGAGAAATAGATTTAGGTTAAGCCAGGGGTATAATAGTATTTTGATTACTAAAATTTTAGTGGTAAACATGGTTAATGTATCTTTGAAAATGTGTACAATGAAAGTGGTATTCTTCACAAATTCCCTTTACTTAAGTATATTGATTATGGTTATATTAAGTTTCACAAACATAAAAACAGAAAATAACTACAATTATTTTAAAATAGCATAACACTATATAATTTAACGAGGTAGATATATTATATTTTAATAGTTGAAGTTATATGTTTTCTTAATAAATCTTTGATTATTAATTTTCTGTTTTTATGTTTGTGAAACTTAATAGGGAAATTGTAACAAATACCACTTTTCTAATACCATTTTTCATTTATACATTAATCAACTTTACCATTAAAATTTTAATAGGTAAAATACAATTATAACCCTAGCTAATAAAACCTAGAACTGTTGTTTTCTTCCCTCCACGAGATCCAACGATTGACGAGATTCGACGATTGATGAGTTTTCCGGCGAGCTTTGAAGATGATGACGAGTTCTCCGGCGAAATCTGACGATGCTGATGAGTTCTCCGGCAAAGCACGAACAAGACGATCTCTCTCCGGCAGTGGTACTCTGTATCTCGCTGAAACACATGGATTGGAAACACATGAATATGAGAAACCTATTGAATTTCCAATCTTAGCCAACAGTACTATTCATATTCCCATCAATGATGCTCATCAGGTATCTCTTCAGATCTTATCTCTGCCATGATCTGTGTTTGTGTTAACAGATTGAAGCACCTGTGAGAAAGTCCTTCAAGGACCCGTTTGAGATATATTCTTGGACAATGAAGATGGTGTGTCTTGATTGTGGCCTTGGTTACTTGCAATGCAATGCCCAAGAACGATAATGGCCTAGTTTGTGTATAGCAATAGCAGAGTCTTTTAGATGCTCAGTCTCTTCATCAGCTATTCTCTTTGTTATATTCTGTTCAGCACGCACAACGCAATCAGAGAGGAACCAACTTCATGAAAAGTTTGTTTCCTTCTTGGATTTGGCAAAGTCTTCTCGGAGGGTATCCAAATTCATTGATCCTATTTTCCTTTATATCCTTGTCCCTGATCTTCCCAAAAGGTTTAAACACTGCAGAGAATCTAATATAAGTGGTATGTGAATCTTGGATTTTTAACTGTTTCTCTGCAGGGCTCTTGTTGAAGTGAAACCGGTCTTATACGTGGAAGAAGATTCAGAGGATGATGAAACCAGACAAGATCAGCTGGGTGAAGGAGACTACAGTTGTTTGGGATATAAGCCAGAGAAATGGCACCGAGACTGTGTGCAGACAAGAGTTGTTGATGGGAAAGTATGCGTGACCATTCTCTCCATCTCTGCCGAAGTGATGAAGAAGCTTCATGAACCTTCCGGAGAAGAAGAACAACTACTGGAGAGAGTATCGAGATTCTGTGTGTATCTTCTCAACAAAACCTTGTCTGAAAATTCCTTCTCTTGGCAAGACACGATGGTAAGAATAAGTTTCTTGAACACAGTGTCAGTCCATCTAAAGCTTTGCTTATATCTTGTAGTGTCAGGTAGTGATGATCCAGCAGAATGGGAACCTATTTTCCAGAGTTGTAGTAATATGAGATCAGGGTTAGAGGATGAAGTTGCTGATAAGGTTGCTGTAATTGAATTTTATGTTCCGTCTGTATTCAGAGCTGTGGTCTCGATGAATCCAGCTGGTTCTGTTGATCCAGATTCTGTTGCGTTCTTTTCTCCAGATGAGGTAACTTACAAGCTTACTGCATTAGATAAAGCTAATCTTCGAAGAATGTTGTTTAAGTACTCATGTTTTTGCTTTGTCTCTTCCCTTCCTAATAGGGAGGCAGCTACTTACATGCGAGTGGCTTCTCGACTCATCATGTTTACAAACACATCACGGTAACAAAGACTGCAACTGATATTACAAATTTGATTGATTAGGAACTTGCATTAATTAGATTTTCTTGCAGGAACATGCTTCTACAGCCTTGCAATACTTCCTCGGATTTGGTACCGGATCAGCTCTGTACTCTCTTCTGGTTAAAAGATTTGACAAGGACTCTTGTCTGTCGCTGGATAACATGAACCATAACTTTCTTTTGGATCCATGGAAGTGAATCTACACCTTTCTTTTCCTCTAATGCAGCTATGGATATGCAGTTTTGAATCCCTATTTAGCAAACCGTGCAGGTAATAAGCCAGTCTATGTGATTCTTCTGCAATCTTTAACACTCGTGTTTATTTTCTGTGGACTAAAATTTTCACATCTCTATTCTCTCATGATGCAGTAAATGTGGAAGGCTATTAGCGATGGATAAAAAGTCTGCTCTAATCCTACCTCCTCTACACCGCACTTACCAAGATTTGCCTCTTGCAGCCAATCTCGATTTTTGTGAAGCTTACCACGGTGGGTGCTCTCCAGATGATTCCTAATAACCTAGTCATTAAGGAGGATCAGTTAGAAGGTTAGAGAAATTACTTCTTAGAACATTTTGTATGAGTCTATAATATATGCTTTACTCTTTGACCTCTCTTGTTTGTGTCCCATGTTGAGTTTAAATTTACATTGGGGCAGTTACTTTCTTTGTTTCTCTTCTCGGGTAAGACATATATGGGACATAGAAGCAAGTGACAGGTGATGATACATGTGAATGCTGTGTATTTCTAGACAGTTTGATCTGTGTCATGAGATGTCTGACCAAAGACTTATTTTACTCAGTTCACACTCCTATGTTAGTATGTTGTAGTAAACATCAAAGCGAGAAGAAGACAAAGTGGGTCCTGAATTTTGTGCTAGCAGAAGAACGTGTTGGATTGGATTCAGAACCAGAAATAGAAAAGATGTTACAATGGTGATTTAGAACCTGTAAATCATTGTTACAAAAAAAAAAAGAAAAAAAAAAAGAACCTGTAAATCAAAAAGGATGTAGAACAACAACATGAACTAGTTTTCTTCATTTCATAGTTGTGATTTTACATTTGAAATTGATTTCAAGTTCAAACCTGAGACTAAAAAAACACACAGAAGAGTCACTACAGCAACAAAAGTGCTAGGAAGAAGAAGAATAAGATCATATACATTTACACTATAACATAAGGCAAGAATCCATAATCAAACCAAACTCCTCACTACTTCTTTCCTTCTTCTATAGCATCACTCACAGTTTTCACAGGACATTCCTCTGGAACCACCACCACTGACCGCCTCACACCACATATTGTCCAGAGACACAAAGCCAACATTGCTCCCAACGCTCCACACACTGCACCCAAGAACAAAACACCAAGCATCTCCCATACACACTCGTTTCTCTCTACACCCTCTTCCTCCTCCGTGGAACTGTCAGCCTCCATAGCTTCATACGGTTGAAGCGGCTCCGGAGGAGGATGCTTATCTCAAACCCCCACGAATGAAGAAAATGTATCCATGATGCTATAAAAAAATGATTTCAATCAATTGAATGGTTTTGCATGCCCTTATATTTTTTTTTATAAACTCTTACAACTCTTAAAATGATTATATAAACTCTTACAAAATGATTTATAAACTCTTATATAAATTGATTTATAAACCCTTAATTTTTTTTGTAAACTCTTATAAATAAAAGGGACTTATGAGAAGAACATAATTCAAACATTCGAAACGTTCTAAAAGTGTGGACTAGTGGAAGAAGAGATCCTTGTAGCGTTCAAGAAGTTTCCGCAGTACATCGGTGCTTCGGAGCATAAAGATTTATAAATTAGCTATAAAATTTTATAAAGGCTTATAAATTATGTATAAGAGTTTTTAATCATTTATGAAGCCTTATAAAAAAATAATAATAATTTGCAAATGATTTTATAAATATTTATAAATGACCTCTAAACCATTATAAATGATTTAGAAACTAATGCTACGGAAGCATATTTCTTCTTGTCTTGCAAATGTTCATTACTAGCTTTTAATGTTAAACTAGTGATAGTCCGGCGCGTAGGTTCATATATTTTTTTAATGACTTTAAAATTATTTTTGATCCATTTGATAGTGATTAGTAACAATAATGTATTACTTTGTTTTTAAGTTGCTTAAGTTAAATATGAATATTATAAATGGGTTTCATTAATCAATTTAATAAAAATAAAATAAATAATTGATAGTTACACCAAAATAAATATAGTTGAATTTGAAACATAAAGTAAATATGATTTTACAAAAGGGAAACTTTTAAATAGATGTGTTTGTTTTGTGATTATCTTGTTTGAATGAAAAAAAAAACAAATTCTTTCATCTTCTTACAATAGTAACAATTCTCGTATACTTTGTTAATGTCATGGATGTGACAATCTTTTAGGGGTTTCATTATGAACGTATTAGTTAATTAATTTATCTTTAAAATAATTTTGAATCCAGTAAGTGAAATTTTTAATCATAGTCCAGCATTGTTTGGATCTAAATTGACATTTTTTTCCAAAATAGTTTATCAACATTGATATACCATAAAGATATGTACTCTTATCATAGTTTTCATCTGTAGATTGGCTAACATGGTTGTGTCTTTTAATAGATTTGTGGTGGTAAAAGTATTGATTTAACCTCTCGAAGTCTGGTTAATTATATAGTACAATGTTTGATTTGTTTTTTTTTTTGTTTGACATCCTATTTGAAAGGCAAATTGTTTACATTGTAAATTCTGGTATTAGATTTTTTTTTTGTTTTAATTAAGTATTTTGTAGGTAAAATATTGAACCTTATGTTAATGTAGTCAAGTGAATTTTTTTAATGCGATTTTTAAAGAGGTTTAGTAAGGCTATGTTCTGTTATGGGTTAGGTTTTTAATATATTTGTTTTATGTTAAGTCATCTATTTTTATTTTTACTGTATTTTTTTTTTTTGTCAATTTCTTTTATATTGCATCTCACTCTTTTAGACTTTACAAAATAAGCAACTGAAGATGTAGACGTAATATTACATGTATATTGTAGTTGTTGCAGAAGTTAAGCTCAGTTTGTTATTTACATTTGGTTGTCTTTAGATAATATTCAGAAGAAAAAATCCTTAGTTATTCAGAAGTTGTTATTTCATCAAGTACCGAACCTTTCCCAGAATTACCCCTAACATGTAAAACCATGCTGAAGCTCCCTAGAATATTTTACCTGCAAGAGTTGCCAAAATGAAGGAATAATTACCCCTAACATGTAATTATCCTCAGCAAAATACTTAATTAAAACAAAAAAAATCATGGAGGAATAATTACCCCTAACATGTAATGAGCTTCAGCATGGAACCGAAATAGCAATATATCTTAACGACAAGTTCAAAAAGAATCAAAAACAATTAACATCTTACCTCCAACAGCCAGTGTCTTTTAAATAACAGAGATGCAAAATATCTATGCCTCAGACAAATAGTAGCAGACACTGGTAATGATAAGAACAGAAACAAAAGTATTCAAACATGGAAAGTAAGCAAAATATAAATAACAATGAACCATATCACCAGGATTTGCCATAGTGCAATTGAAGCAACACCATTTCACAAACTCAACTGGCATCTTCTGCTGCACAGGTTCCCACTCACTTTAACCATCCTCAGCTTCTTCATTCAGCAATGCCTCTGCACCGTAAATATCTTGAAACGTCAACTCTCCTCTTGAAACCATATTTGTTTTCTGCATAAGACATTAACATATACATGAACCCAAAAAATTCGTGGCAGAAATAGTTATACTTACATAGGAAAATTAATGGTTTAAAGTTACGGATGATGATAACCCAATGTCTCCACTGCTAAGCTCATCGAGATGAGTTTCAGCACCATTGCCATGTTTTCCTTTTGAACCCACAAAAGAACTCTCGAGCGTTTCTACACCATTGTTACCTCACCAGAGACCGAAATTACTAACCAGCATCTTCTCTGAGCGAAAGTAGAAAAAGGGTAGCTTTTAAAAATTAATGTGGAGAGACAAATCAAAAACGAAACTTGTTTTATTAACCTGATCCAATTGTTTTAGATGCCATCGCATTGTGGTGACTCTATATTTCTCCTGTAATCATGGCTTGTTTCCAAACCTTTTCGAAAAGCATTAGATTGTTAAGCCATATATATGATAGAAAAAAATAATAATAATAAACGAAGAAAAGCTAGCCAGTTCTCTGAGTCAGGCATCAGTTTCACTTTCACGCTTCACACCTTCCGAGCTTCCCGCCTCACACCATTTATGAGTTTGCAAAGTTAATGCAGCTTACAAAAGAACAATCTAAATGATAGATATTGCCACCATCAGGTGTGTATTAATCACGTGCTTTACTGTCCTTGAAACAAAGATTATGTAAGGTGTAGGTAAGGCAAATAGCAGTACGAAACATTACCTAAATCAATGCACTTTCACAATTTCCCCCATTACTGGTGCTGTTTAATAATTACAATCACCAAACTCAAAACTATAGGAATTGCGTCCAAGAAATGAATCTCGTCAAGCTCAAGATCTAACCTAGGTTTTACCGCCTCCGACAGAAAGAGTTGTGTTGCGTTCAGAGGGGTTGCAAAGATAAGACCAACTATGATTTCCAGTAATCTGGGAATGTCGACGGCTCTACACACCCAGTGAATGTTGATTTAAAAATGGTACATACTCTTGCCAAAAAATTAAAGTAATTAAAAGAAAGCTTTTCTACCTTCTCATTGAGGAACAGGAAGTCCACACTCATAAGCTCACCAGATTTCTTAATGTTCCTAGCCTCCCAAAAACGAAGGAGACTTGTGACAACTCTGTCCTCGAAACGACCAGCCTTCAAATCGGAGAAGTACAGCTGAGTAATCCCCATTCTAAGACTTCTACTTGTCGGGTTGTTTCGAGAATATGATTCGTAAGACGTTTGAGATTCCTGTCGAGGACCTAGAGACTATATGTATCTATCCTTATATCCAATTCGATTGATGGTGAGGAGAAAAACCAGTATTGATGAGGAGAAAGTGGATGAATTGATTGACTGTCATCAACACTGGGTAACTACGTCGAAGGAACTGTACTGATGGAAGACGATATGACGGGAGTTACGGCTTGCGACGACAACGAAGAAACCCAACAAAAACAAATATTGATTTTATATTCAATAAGCCCAAGATATTTTCAAGCCCAAGACGTTTAATCACTTACGGAACAAAGAGACAATGCAGGAGGAAAGCGCTGACGTGTCACAAAATCCCCTAGATAGATTGCTGAGGTGGACAGCTTAAAAGGACAGATAAGTGTACTTTATTAATATAGATATGTTATAAGAGTTTATATTTTGCTCTTCTCCAAAACCATCTCACTGAACTCATGTAAGGACTCTAGCAACTCTGAACCATCTATTGACGTATCCCATGTATTTTTATAATGGTGATCTATAAAGGTTTATAAACTAATTTATTAAAATTTATTTTTTAATTTAAGAAATATTTATCAAAATAATTTAGAGAACATTTTGATAACCACATATTTTATATATAATGGTCTATAAGTTTGATTTATAAGAGTTTAAAAATTGATTTAAAAGGGTTTATAAACTAATTATAGGATTTATAAGGTTATTTATTAATTTTAATAAATTAGCTTTTGATTTATAAGAATTATAAAGTGAGTATAAAGGTTTACAAACGACCTAAACAATGATTAAAAGTTTGAATTTGTATATCTAAATTCAAACTCCAAAGACGAAGTTTCTCTTCATTGGTTCATGGTAAGTCAAACTCCATAAGCTTTTCGTTGTTACGATATCCTTCAAGAGACCGATTCTGCATATTTATAAGCTTTCATAACTTTCTTATAAACATTTATAAATAGTTTATAGATTTAATAACTTGTTTTATAAGCCTTTATAAATGGTATATACTTACAAATAATTTTACATATCTTTATAAATTGTTTTATAAATCTTTATAAAGGTATATAATCTTTATAAATTGTTTTTATTAACATTTATAAATTATTTACATACCTTTATAAACCATTATAAATTATTATATAAACCATTATTTAGGTGTTTTTCCTTGTTACGACGACATCCTTCAAGAGACTGGCTCTGCATAAAAGAAAAAAATACATTATTTATAAGCTTTCATAATTTGGAGCTAGATTCTGCATACAAGTCCAAACTCTGAGATTCAAGTGATTTACAAAGCTTTATAATTTTGTTTATAAATATGTATAATTAACTTATAGACTCCTGTAGAAATTTTATAAAGTATTATAAATCAGTTTATTAACCCTTATGAATCAATTTATACACTCTTGTAAATCAAAATATAATCTTTTATACATTAGTTTATCAGCTTTCATAAATTAAGTAGATAAAATTTAGGACTCTATTCTAATAGAGTAGATAAAATGAACTGTAAAAGAATAATGTTCTTAAATAAGCAAAGAAATGGTGGAAAGTTGGTTAATTTGGTGATTTATAAACTCTTATAAATAGATTTATAAACCTTGTAAATTATTTATAAACATTTATGAATAAATGTATAAACTCTTATAAATAGCATATAAGTACTTGCAAATAGTTTTATACACCCTTTTAAATAGTTTTATAAACCTTTATAAATAGTTATACAGATATTTATGTGTTTTATAAACTTTATAGATGGTTGACACAAGGTTTTATAAGCTCTTATAAAATTTACAAATGGTTTTATAAACCTTTATAAATAATTATATAAATATTTATATGGTTTTATAAGGCCTTCACACATTTGAAGGAAAGTGAACTTAATCTGCGTTACAGCAATCTCGTCCGGCTCTGGAATGGAATCCTGGTAAGCTAGTGTAGTGTGTTGGTGTTGAGACTGATAAGCAACTTCAAAGTTTGACATTTTTTTATATTATTTTTTCAGGTTGTTATAACGATGAGCTATACACAGAGCTATGGAAAGCTTGTGCAGGTCCATTAGTGGAGGTTCCTGTTGCTGGAGAGAGAGTTTTCTACTTCCCTCAGGGTCACATGGAACAAGTATGTCTCTTTACCAAATTAACCTCCTTTACGTGTTTTAACTCCATTCTGTTTCTGAGTTCTTGTTTTTCTTCTTGCAGCTTGTGGCTTCAGCAGGGAATCGAATCAGAAGAGATACCTGATTTCAAACTTCCTCCCAAGATACTTTGTCGAGTTCTTAGTGTCATGTTAAAGGTTAAAACTTTGAATTATCATAACTCTTTTTTTTTATTCCCCATTAATCTGTTTTTAACATGTTTGGATGTTATAGGCTGAGCAAAGACTTGTTAAGAAGTCTTCCTAATTTTTTACATCCGAGAAACAAGTTCCTGATGAACGCAGATCACCTCTCTTTTACATCCGAGAAACAAGTTCATGATGAATTGCTAATGACGCCAAAGGACCAGTCACCGATAATCCCAAGCTTCTATGACTTCGAATCGCTTAACATAAAGCGGTTAGCTATACCGAAGATAGTGCCCCCTTCAGTTGCATTAGCTTCTCATGTTTCCCTTGCTTGACAGAGTTGAACCTAATCAACTTGAACATCCAGATAATCCCAGAAGACATTGGTCTGCTGCATTCACTAAAGAAACTAGACCTCAGCGGAAATGATTTCATCCATTTACCAACATCAATGAAGAACCTTTCTAAGTTGAAACACGCCAGGCTCTCCAACTGCGTCAAACTCGAAACATTACCGGGGCTTACCGAGCTGCAGACGCTCAATCTCTCAAACTGTTCCAGCGTCAAATCACTGCTGGAACCTTCACATGTATTTCAAGAAATAAGCAGATACAGTTTGCTAGAGCTTGAGCTAGACAACTGCACGAAACTTCAACTGCACGAAACTTCAATCATTCTCACATCAACTTAGTCAATTCAGTGAATTAACATATCTAAATCTAAGCAGCAACGACTTTGAAGCAATCCCTGAAAGCATCACAGATCTCTCATCTCTGGGAACACTCTGCCTCAACAACTGCAAGAACCTCAAATCAGTGGAAAATCTCCCACAGAGCCTCGAATATCTCTACGCACACGGATGCGATTCCATGGAGAATGTGATCCTTTCTCCAAATCATTCAATCAAACACCTCGATCTTAACCATTGCTTCAATCTACAACAAGAAAATGAGCAACTAATTACTCAATTTCTAAACAACGAAGAGGTAAGCTCCGTGCAACGATCTATATGCTTACCTGGAGCGAGAATCCCTAGCTATTTTGAGAATCGATCATGGGCATTTAGTTATGATTGGAGCTGCGAAGAAGATGATGAAATGATTCAGATAAACCTGAGGCCTAATCTCTACCGTGCGTCGGAGATTGAGGAGACAGAGACCGAGGAAAGATAAGGGTAACAATGTCTTTTGATCATTAATGAAGTGTGTATCTATGAAAATGTCCCTTCATTGGTGGTAGAATTAAATAATGGTATCAAACAAAGTGTACTAATAGAATTTTCCCAACTTAATATAACCATAGTCAAAATACTTAAGCAAATCAGAATCCTTATTTTTAAAATTATTTAAAATAAATTTCAATTTACCATCCAATCTATCTAAAGCATAAATTTATTTAGAATTTATAGATTATTTTAATATTGTAAATATTGATATGAGTTCAAAAGCTTCTAAAAATTCATTAGTTACTTATGTATGTAATTTAGAATCAGACACTTTAGTTTTTATTTATTTTTCCTTCTAAGCACAAAAAAATCTTAAGTTATACTAAATATACTTATATTTCTAAAATAACAATCAGCATAAATGTAAATAAGACAATTAATCAAAAATTTAATATATTTAAAATATAAAAGATTATCGTTGAATTCAGAGAAATAGATAGAATCCAATATATCTAAATGATAACTAAATGGACCGTAAAAACAATAAAATAGACTAAATATAACATATCTAAAATTATTTATATAGTTAAAGTAATATAATATTATAATATAAATTAGACATACAAACTATAAATTAATTTAAAAATTAAAATAAATATCAATCAATTATTATTGTATATTTATTTTATAAATATACATGTTCGTGCATGAAAGCTATCTCAAAGGGGATTTACGTAAATTATTACATTCCAGGTCACTTTGAGCACTTAACCAAGTAGCTACGAAGAGATAGCTGCAGATTTTTGGCGTTGCATCGCATTCAAATGTTTACGGCACAACAGCCCACGTTTTCAGATGATCAGCTGATATATCTTTAAGTTAAGGTACAAAACTCGTCGACAAAAAAAAAAAAGGTACAAAACTCTATCAGGTCTCAATAACTTTTAGTCATTTTTCTGCAATATGAAGAGCTCTGAAATAAACAAAAATGTCTATATTTTATAAATAAAACAAGTCACAAAGGCAAAATCGTTCCGCATGGGATCAAAATCTGTCTAAACAAAGTTGAGAAATGGAAATTTCTGTGGCTTTCGTCTTTTACTTGGACTTGACTTTGCCTTGGCGTTTACTAGTTTTCTTTTTGGTTCTCTGTTTCTGATGGTTTCGAGGGTGTTCATCATCTACTTCATCGTTTGGATTTACTTCCTCGAATTTGACCGGTTTAATTATGACCCCAGTCTTCTTCACAACCTACACACACACAAATCATCAAATCGCCACAAGGTCAAAACAAGTACAACAATTATTGGCACGGGTGTTAATGAAAGTTTGACAAATTAACCAAGACGAACCTCTGGTCGGTTTAGTTCCGCAAGAATGGTCGAGGGATTAAACTCGGGACCTATAGGCATACGCATACTATTTTCGAAAACTTCCCTTGATGTATAAGGGTAAGGTAGTGTCGTTGTATGAAGTTTCTCAGCCTATCAAAAGCAAATACCATGGGCATTATATCGAATGGTTATCAACAAAATAAGCTTAGGGTGAGACACCACTGACCTTTTTATCGACTTTCTCTGATATGATAACATGATTAAGACGAGCGTCTTTCCTTTTTTTGAGACCTTGTTCCCACTCTTTCTTTTCAGCTTCGTGTTTTTGAAGCTCATGTTTAGATATACCAATCTTTCTTTGGATATTGGTCCAATTTCCCCAACCAGGAACTAGAACCGGTTTTTCAGGTTTAGGAACTTCCTGATTTAGAACCTCTTCTTTATCCTTCTCAAATTCATCCAACACATCATCACCAGCAAAAGCACGGTTTATAATCTCTTCTTGAGAAGGAATCTCAAAGGTTTCCTTTGACGCAGATGTCAAAACTCCGTCCACCATTCGCTCTGCCTCACTCTCTGAATCCTCACTTCCATCATCTCTCGAACCCTTTCGAAGATTTTAAACATAAATACACAACGGTAAGGAACTAAAACCGTCAAAAGCTAATACTGGAAGTCTGGAAGGACAAGAACATGGAAAAAAAAAAAACAGTAGAGTTCAACTGAGACTTGCAGAAAGAAAATACCTTTTTATCTTGAGCCTGTGAGATGGGTACACGTGTCTTCTTTGATGCTTTTTTGGATTCTGTGTTTTTGCCGCCTGTCATCTGCATTAACATACCAAAAAAGGAGTTAAAAAACGAATAATAACACAAAAAGAGACCAAGTCTGATTAAAAAAAATTCAAAGTGAACCTTCTTCCAGGAGCCTGATGCAAACATGGCAACATCGAATGTTGTCGTAGATGCTGGATTTCCAACAACATCATCAAACTTCTGTAGACAAAGCAAAAAAAAGGTCTTTAGAGATTTGAAAGGGAGAGAAGATATAACTAACCAAACGAGAAACAAAAGATACCTCAGTATCAGTCATGGTTCCAGTGTTTCTAGCAGGTGAAGCAGTATCTCTTACAGCCTTCATGTCATTATCTTCTACGCCAGCCATATCATTGTCACTATCACTGTTGTCATAGAAGTTATCTGAATCCTTTCTAGACTCTTTTGGAGCTTCCACTTTGGCGGTTGCCCCGAAAGCTCTTCTACCACTAACTTCAACGGGTTTTTTAGAGTTTTCTCCACCAGCATTTTCCCACTCTTCATACTCCTCCAGTGCACGTTTAGCTTCTTCATTAGCTTCCTCGTTTTTCTTTTTCATAGCACGGGCCTAACCATACAAAAAGGAAAAGATAAGACAACAATTTAATGGAAAATAATCAAAATTGTGATGAGAAAGCAAAACAAATATTACCATGAAAGGTAATGACATAAGACCAGAATTGGGCACTTCATCATCTTCCAAAGCTTTCAATGTCTTCTCCTTTGCTTTTGCTATCAATCTAGAAGGAGTGTCCTCATCTGAACCATCATTCAACTCTTCCTCATCCTCGCTCTCATCACTACTACTTCCATCTCTCATGGAGTTCATCTTTCTGGACAAACTAGCATTCATTTGAAGTTGTTCAGCTATAGCTGCCTTAGTTCCATCATATTTCACATTCAGTCCACGACTTATCATGCGCTTCGCCCACTTTCCTGTGTTTTTGTGCTTTAACGTCATACGTTCCTGCACAAGCACAAATAAGACAACATTTTACTCTTTGCCAGTGTCTTGATGAAAATTGTGAGCAGTGAAGAGGAAATTTAGAACTCACCTCTACTCGTCTAGCCTCCTGCCTCATAGCCTCTTCTTTGGCCATTTCTGGGTCCATTAATGCTCCCAATGACGAGTTCTTTAGGTCTTTGTTTTTGAGGCGATGATAAGTCTTAGACTTAATCTTCTTGATTCGTTTACTTTTTACCTCGTGACGGAAGAGCAGGCTCCGCATCTTGGCAATATGGTTACGGTCCTTTATGTGGTCTTCCATAGAGACCTGCAGCACAAGAATTTATACCAAACAGTTACATCAAAAGTTCCTACCACAAACTATGTTCAAGGCCAGATAAATCTATACAAGTCAAACAGATCACAGCAACTTGCCTCGTTCAATTCCAGAAGCCTAGCGCCATCGTCTCTGTGAGCCTCCGTAACCTCACTATCATTGAGTACAGAAGCCATCTTCTTCTCAAACTCAGTCCTGGGTTGAAAGTCTGATGCTATTGCGCTAACCGTAGAGTATCCAAGATTGACCTCTTTGTTAAAGTAAACAGTTGGTGCCTCCCTATTCTTCTTTACGAGATGCACCCACTTACCAAACTCCTCATCAACTATTCCTTTCACAGCTTTACGCTCCAGTCTTTCTCGTTCAGGCTTTGGCAGAGGAGCATGAACAACATGCTTAGTACCCTTCTGCATCCGAGCAATCTGCTTGCTTGTTTTTTGATATCCAGGTGTTCCTTTAAGAGGCGCCAGAAAGTCTTCCTCGGTGAGGACGTTTTTACCCTCCAGAACGTCGCGGGTGGGATTGAATTCACCCTCTGGGTAAGCTTCAGTAAAGAGCACAGGTTTGCTCTTACTGTCACCTGAAAAAAAAAAGGGCATAGATGGGTTACATAAACAGCTTAAAAAAGCAATAAAGAAGCAGAAATAATCAATTCTATGCAAAGAAAGTCTCAGTCACAATACCTTCAAAGGCTGCACTTGGCATTCCAGTGAGAGATTGCAACATCCGTGTGTGTCTATCATCATCATCGTCGCCTTCTACTTCTTCATCATTCTCGCTGTTCACATCATCTTCAGACTCCACGTTTTCGTCCTTCATTGGTGATAAAGACAATTAACCAGTTAGCAGCATATAGAAAATTGCCAGAACTAGATCTAAAGAATAATCAGATAATCCAAATAAAATCACTGTAATAAATATATTGCAAACTTCCTGAGAGATAGGAAACCAACCTAAATCAAACTTCCAGACCAAACACGTCTCCTTTTTCTCGATTGAAATAATACATTGCAAATCAGACAGTGTCGACGGTAAGAAACACAAGAGAGAATCCAGAAAAGAAAAAAAAACAACCTCCATCATGTAGAGAATCGATATGTGTTGTATGAAGTAACAAAATTTCCAAGAAATAAAAAAAAGGAAAACCTTTAGACCAGATAAGTCTTTTCTAGTGTAATAAAAATTGCGATTCAGACAGTGACGGCCACAAGAAACAGAACCAATGTCGGAGCAAAGAGCAAACGAACCTCGAAATCTTCGGGAAGCTCGTAGTCGTAGTTATCATGGCGGTCGTAACGGTTGTTCTTCCTGGATTCCTCTTCAGGGACACCTTCTTCGTACTCGTACAAATCGCCGCCGTGTTCATCATCGGAATCGATCGCATCGTCGTCTTCTTCGTCGGAGTTCAGAGGACGTTTCTGATTAGCAATGACCTTGAGTATTGAGTTAGGCAAGTGAGGACCTTTCTTCTTCTTTGACTTAGCTAGGCTTTTGGAGCTTGATGATGATTTCCTCTTCAAGCCTCCTCCCATGGCTCTCTGCTTTTTTGCGGACGACTCGAGAGAGAGAGAGAGA